AATTCATCAAGAAAATGTGACCAGTCCCAAAGAAGGGAATATTCATGAGACTATGAGTAAATTTATCAACAGAAACCATGTAGGGCAGAAGAAGGTGAGGTGATATATTCAAAGTGCTGAAGGAAAAAGAAAAAAAAAAAAAAAACTGCCATCAAATAATACTCCACCTGACAAAAACTGTCCTTCAAAAATGAAAGAGAGATAAAGACTTTTCCTAATAGAGTAAATTGAGGGAGATCATCAACACTGGACCTGCCTTAAAAGAAATGTTAAGTGGTGTTCTTCAAGTCAAAATGAAAAGACATTAAACAGCAACATGACAGCATAAGAAAGTATAAAACTAGTTGAGAAAGTAAACATATAGACAAATATAAAATATTGTATTATTTTAACGGTAGTGGGTAAAACACATTTAATTCTAGCATAAAAGTTAAAAGAAAAAATTATTTTGAAAACTATAAAGATACAAACATAATTATTAAAAGATACACAATATGAATAGACTTTGAAAATAATAACAAAGTATGTTGTGGGGAAGAAGTTAAATTGTAAGTTTTTGTATGCAATTCAACTTATCAGCATAAAATAGACAGTTGTAAGACATTTTATGTAAGTACCAAGGTAACCACACACGCACAGACAAATCTGTAAAATTTACACAAAACAACAACAACAAAAAACTAATCGAGGCATAACAATACAAAAAAAAAACCAAAAACCAAAAACCAAAACAAAACAAAAAACCAACAAAACCCAGTGGAAAACAAGAGAGGAAGATATACAAAAGTACTATAAGAATAATAAGAAACAACTAACAAAACAGCAATAGCAAATCTTTTCCTATCAATAATTACTTTAAATGGATTAAACTCTCTAATCAAAAGACATAGAGTGACTGAATAGATTTTTAAAAAAGAAACTTACTTTAGATTTAAGGACACACATAGGCTGAAAGTGAAGGGATAGAAAATGATATCCCATATATTAATAAATCATAATCAAAAGAGAGTAGGGGTACATCAGACAAATTATCATTCAGTCGAAAACTATTACAGAGACAAAGAAAAAGCTTTTATAATGATAAAAGGGTCAATGCATCAAGAAGATAGGGCAATGACAAACATACATATGCACTCAACATGAGAGCACCTTGATATATAAAGCAAACATTGACAGAACTGAAAGGAGAAATAGACCACAATACAATAATAACAGGAGACTTCACACCCCATTTTCAATAATGGACACAACATCCAGACAGATCAATAAGAAAACAGATAATCTGAATAACATTAAAGAAAAAATGGACCTGACATTTAAAGAGCATTCTACCAAACAGGAGGTGAATACACACTCTTCTCAGACCTGCATCTTTCTCCAGAGTATTTCATATGTTAGATCACATAAGAGACTAGTATGAAAAATTATACCCTAACAAATTACATAATTAGAATAAATGAACAAATTGCTAGAAACACACATATCAAAACTATATCATAAAGAAATAGAATCAGTAATCACACACCTCTCAAAAAACAAAAGCCCAGGATAAGATGACTTCACTAGTAAATTCTACCATATTTAAAATATGAAATTGAAAATGAGGGAACTAAATATATACCCAGAGGAAAATAAATCATTGTACAAAAATACACATACACTTGCATGTTCATCTCAGTGTTATTCACAATAGCAAAGACATGGACTTAACTTAGATGCCCATTCATGGTGGATTGGAAAAAGAAAATGTGCTACAAAACACCATGGAATATTATGCAGCCATGAAAAAGAATGAAATCGTGTCTTTTGCAGAAACATGGATGCAGATGGAGGCCCTTATCCTAAGCAAATTAATACAGGAACAGAAAACCAAAAAAACACATGTTCTTACTTATAAATGGGAGCTAAATGTTGAGTACACTTGGATATAACATGCAAACAATAGTTATTAGGGACTACTAGAGGAGGGAAGAAGATGTGGGGTGAAAAACTACCTACTGGTTATTATGCTCACCACACAGGGTCATCTGTACCTCAAACCTCAGCATCATACAATGCACGCATGTAAGAAATCCATACATGCACTCCCTGAATCTAAAATAAAAGTTGAAAATATTTTTAAAAAGAAAAGAGAAAAAAGCAGAAGCCATTTAATCAAGCACACAATTTTTCCTTATTACGAGTATATGTTGAATTTTGTCAAATACTTTTTCTATGTCTGTTGAAATGATCAGAGGATTTTTGTCCTTTCTGTTAATGCGGTGCATCACATTTATTGATTTGCCTATGTCAAATTATCTTTACATCCCTGGGATAAATTCCACTTGATCATAGTGAAATATTGTTTCCATGTGCTGTTGGGAAAGAAAAAGAAAATGGGGAAACATTTACAAACTCAATTCTTGAGGCCAGCAATTATCCTGATATCAAAGCCAGGCAAAGAAACCACAAGAAAACTACACGCCAATATTGATGATGGATATAGATGCAAAAGTTTTCAAAAAATACTAGCACATGGAATCTAAGAGCCCATTAAAAGGATCATAGATGATGATTATGTGGCATTTATTCCTGTGATGCAAGGATGTTCAACATGCCCAAATCAATTAATGTGATACAGCAAATCAACAGAATAAATGATAAAAATCACAGGATCATCTCAATAGATGCACAAAAAGAATTTGGCAAAATTCAACACCTTCTTATGATGAAGACTCTCAAAAATGAGAAGTAAAGGAAATTACCTCAATATAACAAGAGTGATATATGAGAAGTCCACAACTAATATCAGACTTAACAGGAAAAAAAATGCAAGCTTATGTCTACAATCAGGAATGAGACAAGAATGCCACTCTCACCACTTCTTTCAGAATATTACTGGAAGTTCTACCCAGAGCAATTATGCCAGAAAAAGAAGCTGATGACATCAAAAGCAGAAAGAAGCAAAATATTCCGATTGCATCTTACATGATCATATATACGTATTTATATATACACATAATCTTATACATAGACAACACTAAAGTTGTCTATAGATATATAGACAAATGATCTTAGGCAACATTAGAGACTCCAAAAAAAGCACTGTTAGAACAAATACATTTATTTAGTAAAGTTGCAGGATATAAAATCAACCAGCAAAAATCAGTTTCATTTCTATATACTAGTGAAAAACTATCTGAAAGGTAATTAGGCAAATGTCATTTATAGTTGCACCACAAAGAATAAAATATGTAAGAATAAACTAAGGAGTTGAAAGACTTGTTTACCAAAAACACTACATTGATGAGAGAAATTTCAAAAAACACAGCAAATAGAGAGACATCAAAAGCCCAAAGATTGGAAGACTTAATATTGTTAAACTGTCCAGCCATCCAAATCAATATACAGATTCAATGCAATCCCTATCAAAATTCCAATGGCATAATTTACAGAAATAGGAAATATAATCCTAAAATTACTAGAAACCCACAACAGGCCATGAATAGCCAAAATCAATCCTGAGAAAGAAAAATAAATCTTGAGACCTCAGACTTCAAAATACAGTACTTACTGATTCCAAAATACATGACAATGTTGAAGTAATCAAAATAGTATGGTACTGGCATAAAGATAGATATATAAACCAATATTATAAAACAGAGAGTCCAGAGATAAACTCATTCATATGTGATCAACTGATCTTTGACAAGATTGCCAGTGTATATAATCAGGAAAGAATAGCCTCTTAAACAAATGGTGGTAGGAAAACTAATATCCACAGGCAAAAGATTGAAAATAAATCCTATCTTATATGATACACAAAAATCGACTTAAAATGAATTTATAACTTAAAATGGAAGATCTGAAACTGTAAAATCCTTAGAAGAAAACATAGGGAGGAAGCTCCTTGATATTTGGTCTAAGCAATGATTTATTGGATATGACACCAAAAACACAGACATTAAACACTAAAAAAGACAAGTAAGACTGTACCAAACTAAGAAGCTTCTGTAGAACAGAGGAAATAATCAACAAAGGGAAAGAAATCTATTGCATGGCAATCTCTTGAATGGGAGAAAATATTTACGAATTATATATCCAATATATGTTTAACCTTTAAAATATATAAGGAATCACTATAAATAAATAAACACACCTCTTGCCATATTTCACCCAAGTAAAATATGGGCAAAGGATTTGAATAGATGTTTCTTTAGAGATGATATACACATGAATACCATGTATATGAAAAGATGCTCAACATCACTAATCATCAGGAAAGGTAAATTAAAACCTATTGATATATTATCTTGTACCTATTAGGATGTATATTACCAAGAAACAAATAATAACAAATATTGACAAAGATGTGGAGATACTGGAACTCTTGCACACTGTTGATGGGAATGTGAAACAGCGCATCTTCTATGGAAAACAGTATGGGGGTTCCTCGAAAAATTAATACATATAAGTTCCAAACAATCCAATTATCCCATTTCTAGGCATTTATCCAAAAGAATTAAAATAGGGATCTCAAAGAGATATTTGACCTCACATGTCCATTGCAACATTATTCATAAGAGCCAAGATGTGAAAACAGTTTCAAGGTCCATTGAGAGATGAGTAGGAAAAACATGTGATATACATACAATGGAATACTATATAAACTTAAAAAAGCAGGAAATCCTATCCACGTGACAACATGAATGAACTCTGAACACCTTATGCAGGGTGAAATAAGCCAGGCACAAAAGGACAGACACTTATGTGAGGAACCTAAAGTAGTAAAACTCTTAGAAGCAGAGGGTAAAATGGTGGTTGCTGGAGGTTGAAAGAGAGGTGGGGGAATATGGGGTTGCTGTTCAATGGGTGTAAAAGTTCAGGTATGTAAGATGAGTAAGTCCTAGAGATCTGCATGCAACATTGTGCCTACAGTTAACGCTGTACTGTACACTAAAATATTTGCTAAGATTGTAGACCTCATGTTAAGTCTTTTTTTTGTTTTTTTTTTTTTTTGTTTTTTACCATAATATATCATAAAAAACAGTGCCTGGTACATAGTATGAATAATGTAAATTTTTCTTCCATAATAAACAAATATCCAGAAATTGAGCTACCACCTCAATACTTACTGTTACCATTACCTTTTGGCTGCATTATTGCAGTAGCTCTCCTTACTTCCATCATTTATTTTTCCTACAATTTGTTTTCTACCCTATCAACTAGAATCACATCATCTAAAAAAATAAGTAAAGCCTTGTAACATCTCTGCTCTGAATACTTCACTGACTAACTCACAAGTAAAGCCAACATGTTTTCATGATTTGCAAAGCTCTGTGGGTCTGGCCTCACTCTGTCCCTCTCTGACATCACATCTGGCTTACTTAGCTCAAGTCACACTTGATGTTTCTTGCCTCAGGCCTTTGCACTTGTTCCCTCTGCTCTTCCCCCATATATCTAAATAATGTACTCCCTCACCTGTGAAGTCTTTTTTTTTTTTTTTTTTTGAGACGGAGTCTCGCTCTGTCGCCCAGGCTGGAGTGCAGTGGCTGATCTCAGCTCACTGCAAGCTCCGCCTCCCGGTTTACGCCATTCTCCTGCCTCAGCCTCCCGAGTAGCTGGACTACAGGCCCGCCACCTCGCCGGCTAATTTTTTTGCATTTTTAGTAGAGATGGGTTCACTGGTTAGCCAGGATGGTCTCGATCTCCTGACCTCGTGATCCGCCCATCTCGGCCTCCCAAAGTGCTGGGATTACAGGCTTGAGCCACCGCGCCCGGCCACCTGTGAAGTCTTAGTCACGTTTCAACAACTCCAAGGCCGTACCTGACTACCTTATTAAAAATTGTGAACTCTTGGCACTTTCTACCCACTTCATTCCTTTGTTTTATAAATAGTGCCTATCACTAATATGGTATACAGTGTCTATCACTAATATGGTATATATTTTGTTTGTTCTTTTTGCGTGTGAGTGACTCTCTTTCCACACTTTAATGTAAAAATCTATGAAGGCAATAGATTTTTTTGTGTTTTGTTCACTGTTGCATTTCATGTCCTAAGATAGTGCCTGGCACACATAGGAGGTACTCTTGTAAATATGAATTTCTACGTAAGTGAATGGATGGATCATAAATATGATCACTCTCCAACCAATGTCCTCATTTTGTTATTTATTAAAATGTTGAGGTAGACAGAGTCAAGGACAGTCATAAAGCACATCACCAGATAAATCCCTCCAGCTTTATCTAAATAGAATAATGAACACCTATTTTACATGCATTTGCCAAGCTTAAATCATTCTGCCTTTCCTAAGCTAACAAAATCAGCTCTGCAAGTTGTTATCCAAGTAAGACTTTCATCTTACTACAAAGTCAAAGCATTTATCGATTACTACACTGCTACCATTAAGTGAATTAATATCAATATGATATCATAGATACAAACCTCTATCTTATTTCATCTTTAATTAAAACATACTACAATAATACAGTGTTTTCCCTAACAATAATAACAAAAAAATCATAAACTCTTAAAGAATAAAAGTTTTCTCTGTTTTCAACCCTTCTCATTCCAGGTTGTCATGTCATCAATTTACTGCTAATCGAAGCCACCAACTACTAAATCATGTTAACTAGTGTCACTGTCCACTCTTCCCAAGCACTATGTAGTGGGAAACTCAGATGGAATCTTGATTTAAATAAATCATTTAAACATAGTCAAAAAGTACCATAAAGTTCAAATAAATATTTCATTTATTGGTCATATAGCATGTTCTACCATAGTGTATTTCTCCCAGTAGTGGGCATGACATAGTGGGTAATCACATGCTACATGAGTTCAAATCCCTTTTCTACAATTTGTTAACTGTAGGGTCCTGGGCAAATTACTCAAATTCCATCTGCCTAAATTTTCCCATGTATAAAATGTGATTACAAAAAAAGCACCTTCCTCATAAGGTTACAGAGATAATTAAGTGAGACAACAAACCTAAAGGGTATAAATGTTTGCTATCATTGTTACTTATATGTAATAGCAAAGAAAGTAGCACAATTATGTTTTTCTGTCCTTATGAATTCCCTCTTACAACCTGATGACTTGGCCTTAAAAAAAAATCAGAATAATGAAACATTGATGAATTCTATGACTGTGTAAGTTAAATAATGCTTGATGTAATTGGATTTATATTTTTATTAAATATTTGGTTGCCATTTACAACACTGGAGATGATTGGCTATGAGCACCTTAAATTCATCTTTTTATAAAAATCAATCTATATTGGAATACAAAAGTCTCTGTGCTTCTCCAGAGATCAGAGATGGAAGTCTCTTACATGTGTCTCTCTCTGCTCAATTTATGTGGTCACACTGTAGTCTCAATTACAGTCTTGTTGATCATTCTCTCCCAGACAAAATGCCAAAGAACCACTGATGCACAGGCCCTTGTTCCTGCTGGGCCGCCACGACCATTAACACAAAAACTGAGGCTGGCACTCTCCTCTGATAACTACACCTGGACTCTACCACTCAGCCCCGGAACCCACTGACGTGCAGATCTCCAAAGATTAGGTCAGGCAAAGATTGCTGTCAGCCCATCCTGTCCACAAAAGCTCCTCTGAAAGGCAAACACTTGCTGCTGTGCTACGATTTAGAAGTTTTATACGTGTACCCATACCCAGGAAACATGAGTTTTTTTCCTGCTCAAACATTTATACCTGCCTGGTTCACTTTACCTGTTGCCACACATAGCTATACCATCCTGCTGACTATGACGGACTTCATTCTTTATGACGAGTTCATCCCTGACTGTAACCTTGCTTTTTTCACAGTACCTCACAACCTCATCCAATTAGATATGTTGTACCTATTCAAACTCCAACATTGACAGAAGTCTTGTCTTTTCCACTGCCAGAGATGTCTTGGCCTCCACATAAATCACTGCATCCAGATGGATTTTGAGGAGGAAGTATTGTCTAAACCTACACACTAACTACTCGTGTCACAGCATTGGACCAGTGGGATATCCTGTTGCATAGAAAAACTGCCAGTGACTTCCAGTGGCTATTATAGATTAATGCTGTACAGTAACTATAGAACTGAGTAGAGATAAAAAGAAGTAATCTCATTTAGAACAAAATTAATTTCTCAGGATGATCGTTAGTAGGAACACTATATGTATTCATGAATCTCCAACATTATGTTTCCTTCCCTTTATTTTAGATACTTTTAAAACACCAAAATAAATTTTCCTTTTCCTAGCATTAGAGCAAAGTGTGTGTGTGTGTGTATTGCATTCATATGTACATATATAAAGTACAGGAATTTAGAGAATACATATAAATGCAAAAGATAAAAATAAAGGAGTCGATAATCCCCTAATCCATATATAATCATTGAAAAAGATATTCTTCACTTGTGATAACATAAAAATATACCATTCTTGATGAGAAAAATATTCAGATAAGCGTTTCAAATTTTACACCACCAAAATATCATCATCATCATCAACCACCGTCTCAGCAACACAAAGATACCTCTTCTGTTAACACATAAAGCCACATGAAATGTCCATATCAGAGTTCAGACTTAGATACTGAATCGGAAATTTAGCATGACAAAAAAGGTTATAAATTTGGATGAGAAGCATTTCTTCACCATTTCATATTCCTATGTCTGGAGAAAGAGGGGAGTGAAGGGGTGAACAGGTAAATAACCAGGTTCAGAATTTTTTTTTTTTTTTTTTTGAGACAGAATCTCACTCTGTCTCCCAGGCTGGAGTGCAGTGGGGCGATCTCAGCTCACTGCGAGCTCCGAATCCGGGTTCACGCCATTCTCCTGCCTCAGCCTCCCGAGTAGCTGGGACTACAGGCGCCCGCCACCTCGCCCGGCTAAGTTTTTTTTGTATTTTTAGTAGAGACGGGGTTTCACCGTGTTAGCCAGGATGGTCTCGATCTCCTGACCTCATGATCTGCCTGCCTTGGCCTCCCAAAGTGCTGTGATTACAGACATGAGCCACCGCGCCCAGTCCCAGGTTCAGAATTTTTAAATGACTATCATATAACTAAAAAAGGAGACATCGGCTTAGGCTACTTCTACTTTCTTTATTATACTAATATTCATCACTTTAAAAATTACAAAAAAGAAATCTTTTTATGCTTCCTAGTCAGCTAATGCTTGCTTAAAAAGTAATATAATGATTTCTGTGATTCTGAGATTATTTCATTTAATAATAATAACTGCTATTCAAATACATTTGAAGGCATTATTAGAAAAATAATTACATGAATTACAGGGTCAGACATTCTTTAGCTCTAATCACACTCACCAAATAGTTCTCATTAGGTTATAGCACTAAAGATACTGATTGTAAAATACTGTGAAGTATTAGAGTAACAGACTCTAGAAGATGCAGATGTAGTTTTTTAAATTGCACAGGACTGCTATCTAGTTCACTTTTTCATTGGGTTTCTAGAAAAGTTAATGTGAACACAGAGAAATGCTTCAAAGTAAATCCCCACATGTTGATAATATTAAGGAGAGTTCGTTTTGATTCACACTCTATTTTTCATGGTATCAAATTGCTTTGTAGATTATTTTTAACAACATTACTCAAAATGGCACCAGCAGCAAGATCTAGTTTCCTTTCATTTCAGTCTGTCTAGATACCTGAAAAGTTTGCTTTCATATATAAGCAATTCTAACTGCAAACCCTTTACCACGTTTTTATTTTACAGATAAATAACCTAATAATCATCATTTGTTCAGGTCACAAAAAAAAAACATATGGGATTAGCATTAGAATAATTAGTCATTGATTTTCAATCAACTGTTTTCTGAGTACAGTGTCACACAATTAATACGTGTTTCCAGTCAATGAGATTTTTGATTCAAGCAGATAATCAATCAATCAAAAAACAAGATGTTTTGATCACATGTCTAGACAAACACTGTTAGGCCTCCTAGAATAAAAAAGTAACAGATTGCCCTCCTTACCAATGTTTTAGAAAAACAAGAGTTACATATTTGAAACATTTAGAGATTATTAAGCAAGGATTTTTTAAACACTCAATTACATTTTTCTAGCTGCATTACAAAATTTTTAAAAGGGAAACAGTCGATGTGATGGGGAAGAGTCATAAAGGGCTCTTTGAAGAAGCATAATACATTCACAAAAGAGGACATACTTCAGGGAATTGTCCTGTGCCCAGAGCCACATACTTCATTTGAGCATCACTATAGATCAATACAGATGAATCTAAAACAGAAACATAAGCCCACCAACAAACATGAGAAAATGCCTTGTAATGTTATCACAATTTCTCTCTTGGGGCATCAAACCACCACTTACTCAGAAGGTCACCCCACCTCCAGACTCTATCTTCCTTTGCACCTCACATAAATTCACCTTTTGGATGACACTGTTCCATTTCCAAGATAAGTTAACACTTGCTGAAAGCCTTTGTGTCCAAACTCCTGCCCCTTCATTTCTGATGGTAGTTGAAGCCTGGATTGAAGTCAGAGTGGCAAACCCAACAGTGGGCACCTAGTTTAGGCCCAGGCATATTTATGGCCATCAGATCAAGGAAGATGATGGTAAGGTGACCTAGATGGTCCATACCAGTGAAGGGGCAGTGGTCCCCACACCACATCATGTTTTTCTTTTCTTGTGCTTCAGCAGCTCCATTTCCTACGTACTAAGAGACTGTTTCATTCTGTATTCCACCCACTACCCTCCTCTTAGGTGAGTTTACCCGGCCCATGCCAGTTCCTTGAAGTTCGATCTGGTACCAAAATTGTCCAGTCTCTTGGAAGAGGTCTTGCCACCTGAGTGAGTGTTGGACCATCATTTGGATATTCTCCCTGCCTACTCCAGTATCTTGGTACAGACAGCTTTTGGAATTGGGACCCCAGGAAGTTTTGCCCTACAGAGCCTGTGCCTAAACTGCCTGGTGGTTATATCTAGGTTCTGTGGCCACATCACCTTCCTTCATTCCTCTCCCTGCCTCGCTGAGCAGGTTTCTGTGCTCGAGGGCTCACATCCGCATCTGCTTGACTCACCTCAGTCAGTCAGGCACTTTTGGTTCATGAGCCCAGCGTGGCATCCCTCAGGAAGTTATTGCCCTGAAATACTGAATTACACCTTAGTTTTTATCACATTCCAGGCGCTCTCATATCATACATATTTTAGGTGTATCACAACTAACTGAAACATAGGTTGGTTCTTAGTCCCAATGGAGTGGAGTAGATAGATTTAAAAAAGCAAAAACAAACAAACAAACAAAAAAAAACCCTGCTTCGTCAAGAATAAATTTATAACAATAAATTAATAGAAATGATATTCCTAAAACAAAAGGAACTATACTCCTGACGTTCTGTGCCCAGCAAATGATCTAGCTAATTAGATGTCTGATTTCCTGGAGGATTTACTCTTGGAGCCATTATCCCTAAATGATATCTTTCCTTTAGTCAGCTAGCTTTCAAAAATGGAATGGTGAGCAATACAGCCTATTTGGGTCTGAGTTTGAGGGTAGAATCTCCTGGCACTTTTCTTCAGGTGTTTGGCAGATTTTCAGAGATTAACAACTTTCAGAGATAATAATCTTTTTTTTTTTTCAGGCCTCCAGATGGCTGAATCAGTTCTGCAAACTTTAACATCCATCTTAGAGGGCCTAAAATGCTAACTTTAAACTGATCTTAGTAGACCAGTCCTCTCACACTTTTGTACAGTGTATTATTGCTTTTGGAAAGATATACATATGGCTTTACCATGTATTTTTGGGTATTGAACAATTGTATGGCATCCAGATTAGGCCCTGTGACAATGGAAAATATATCTACCAGCTAATATAAAATTTGAGCAATTCTACTGTACTAGTAAATATAGCACCTGTGGCAAGATAATTCATTCAGATATAAAATTGTCTTCATATATTTTGTCCCCACCCTCAAATTCCAAGAAGACAGCCTCTTTTTGCTTCCTTGCCTCAGGGCAAGTTTGTGATACTGAGCAGAAAGGAGAAATTGCTATTAATATGCCAGAGAATAGAGGGAAGGTTCTACAGGACAAGAAATGGACCACAATTCTAGGGGCCCCACATCAATTAGAAGCCTGCATCTGAGTTTGTTTCTCCTAACAAAGCAGAACTATCTAATTTAAATTGTCAGGTTGTGACATCAATATCCATATTGCAGGAAGTGATTTTTGTTTTTACGTACAGCACATGAGGTAAATGTATGACAGAAAACCTCTTATATTAATATTGATACAATCACATCTCAAAAAGAGTTGTGTCCTTTACAGGTTTACATTAACATTCACACAAACAATTCTATTTGCTGTGGAATATCTTGCCATTTGCAGATGTTGACAAATGTGTCTGTTGGCTCCTTGTAAACATTAGGCATTAAATAAATGTTAAATTCAATATATTACCATGATAGGAGTTACACATATGTCAGAAAGAAAAAAAAATTATATCTGTATATACTCTTCAGACATGATAAAACCAATTTTTTTTAAAGAATAGTATCTTCTAAACCAATTTCTTTCTAAGTAAACTTCATTAATAGAGTTCTTTTTAGATTTAAATTACTTTCTAACTTCATTACTCGTCTTGCATACACTCCCCAAAATCTGCTAATTCAAAAGATGCACTCAAGCATCGCTTTGTGTCTCAAGGATCAGGAAATCTTACAAGAAACAATAAGTGGCTTTGTCAGGTTCTGAATGAGGAAGAAATTTCTGCAGTAAAAAATAAACTGTGTTCAATTTTCACATGTAAGAGAACATTTCCTTAACTTGCATAGGATTGAAAATTCCAATCACAAGAATGAAGGTCTTTAGAAATTAAGATATCTTTGTTTGGAGACAACCAGTATCCTATAAGGCAGTAATACTGGTAGCAATTGATCTTTAAATCCAACAGAAATCCAAACCAAAATAAACAGGACAAAAAGAGTCCCCTACTTCTTTTTGGGTAGGGTCCATACAAAGGCTTTAACCCTCTCTTTCAGCCTCAGCACTATTGATATTTTGGGTTGGATAATTCTTTGTTGCTGTGGTCTGTCCTGTGCATTGTAAGATGTTTAGCAGCATGCCTGGGCTCTAGGTGCCAGGAGCACCTCTCCCTACCCACCCACACCACATACATTGTGACAGTCAATAGTCAAAAGTCTCCTGGAAGGCAACATTCCCCCACCTCCTCCTGAGAACCACAGCTTTAACCTCATTCCCTTCCAGCTGGCTTTTCAATGGCACTTCTTTCATACAGCCATTTACTG